TCTCCAGGACCTTCATCACATGCGATGTTAGGGCGACTGGTCTGTAGTCTGCCGGGTCAGATGGCCTCGACTTCTTGGGGACTGGGACCAAGCAGGAGGTCTTCCACAGCAACACTGCACTGCGTCTCCCTTTGACCTCTGCAAAGTGGTTGGGCCACCTTAATGCTTTATCTGTGCATCACTCTTGTACCTAGTTCAGTTCAGATGGCTCCAAGGTTATGTTGCACCTACATGTGCTGTATTGACCCAAGGTTATCCCTGCAGCCTATAGCTTTGTGGCTTTTAAGCTTTGTTTGTCTGTTTTGCTAATCCGGCTAGGAGGAAAGTGCTGCGCTACATAAACAGTGGCTTTTTCACTGCAATGCGTAGGCTATTGCCCTGGATTATAACAGCAGAGATCTTCTGTTGCCTCATGGTGCGAGGGCACATTTGATCAGGGGCATGGCAACACCACTGAAGGGGTATCTGTCAGTGATCTGTGCTGCAGCTAGGTGGTCATGACCACACACACACTTTTGTTTGGTTTTAGCGTTTGGATGCGACATCTTCAGTGGATCATTCTGACGTTTCCTCTGGGTCTATGATGCATTAGAGTGCTGGAGGTTGGACTGATTATGTGGCTGCTCTGCAGGACATGAATACATTTCCCATACTTTATGTGTTGTACCAAGTAAACTGACTAAAAGGGAAGGAAATGTTATGACTATAGCTTCTGTTCCCTGCAGTAGAGAAACAAAGTACAACACTGCTGTGTGGCTGGGCTTTGTGAAGAGCAGCTTTCAAACTGAGCTGAACTGCAATGACTGTTGTTTACATCGGTAGCAGGGCCACGTTATGTTACCACAGGTCATCTGCCTAGGCGTGAATAAAGGTGTATTCTGTCAGCCAGGCCACACTAGGTTCGTAATTCTTCAGAGAACTAGCAACTCTCAATATTTTGAAAGAATTTCTCCTACAGCATGCTGTGTCGTACCCCTTTTCCTCTCTACACAGTGGTTATAGTCATAATATTTTGTTTGTATGGTATAAAGCTGGTAAAATGACAGATTTTTACACAAACTG